CACAAAAATAAGAACGTATAAAGGGTGTTCTAAAATAAAGGCTCACTTAGCCTCATATCCAGTAGTAGACGATCATGGAAAGAAACCAGACTACACAATCTTCAACAACCTGCACATTAAGAGTTTTTATCCTTGTTTTTATCCTATGTTTTCAAGCATCTTGATGGATTTCTCTTCCAGGGCCTGCCTAATGCTGTTTGAACTCCTGGTATCCACAGCAACTTGTTAAAATTAGCTTCACAATTACAGCGTATGTGGAAAAAGACTTCATTTGTTTTAAATTGCTGCATGAAGGTCACCACAGGTGTTCTGTAATTCCTGGATGATGAAAACCAGCAAATAGCGTTTCCTAATCACCTTCAGACCACTTGTAATTGTATGTAGGTCTCATTGCTACCTCAGTCATTCTCCCTTCCACATTAAACAAGCTGCAGTTGGTCTGTTCTGCAGTCACTGTTCACACTGCAGCCGTTCTCTGTCTCTGAACATCTTTACCTTTCTATCTGTTTACATACATACATACACATTAGATGAGGAATCCACACATGCACACATACCGTACAGGTGGCCTACAGACTTCTACAGTGACATCAAGAAATACCATCTATTTCCTAACCTTTTGTGCTCTAGTTGCTATTACTTTCAAGAGAACGTAGTGTAGATCCTACAGTTCTCCTCTAAATTGCAGTGACTGAGAAAAGAGAGCTGTTGGCCATGCAATTTCCTTAGCCTGAAATCCTGAACACAGTACATGGTCTAAAGGTTGATGTCAAGGAAACGTGCGGAAACTCCTGAAAATGCTAATGCTGTGATCAGACCACAGATGCTGTAAAGCTCACTTCCAGTTCATGATGCTTTATTAGTTTAGTTTGGATCAGTAATGACTTCAGAAAATTCACAACCCAAAAGGCTGTAGACAGATTTCATATAAATGTGCTTTATTGCAGAGAAGTTACATTATTTACATGCTGCAACACATTACAACATAAATCTATCAAGTATTTCATGGTGGATGCTGTTGGTAGCCAGATAACATTGTTATAAGAATCACGTTATAAAGTGAAGAGACTTACAGCTTTATGTACTCTACAACTCGGAGTAGCTAAAATGTTGAAAGTCAAAAGGCAGTGTTTTCTCAGGCCTGCCTGTTGTCATATGCATGCAAAAGCCTAAGGAGAGCAAATATAAAAGTATTGTCTGGTTTCAGGCCTATGATGCCACCAAAGCTGATGATAGGCGTGTACTGATGTTTATTTTGAAGCATATAATCTTGCATAAATTATACAAGTCTAATAAGGTTGGTATAAATTTATTTATAAACCATGGCTTAGAAATAAAGGAGAAATGCAGCTTGCACATGCATTTAAAAGGACAACCTAGCAAATGTTTGTGACCTTAGTGTTTATTATCTTTTCTCTTAACAGATCTGCTAGAAAACATCTTAATTCTAGAGTCACACTTCTCTTGGCTGAGTAATGACAATGAAACTCCAGAAAAAGACAACTAAGCAATCTAGCCAATATATGCTGGTGGAGAAAAATCTATGAAATACAGAACATTATTTATGTCTAACTTAGTATGTCTTCATTAAGCAATGTTTCTAGCAGCATCATAGTGAAATATAGTAGTCGAGTGAAGTTTGGCCCCTCTTTCTTAAGTGCAAAGAAATCTAAAGTAGCAATTGAATCTGTAGCCCAGATATCGGTTGCTAAAGCTTTGTTGCTTTCTGAAGGAAAGTTCTCCAATTGTACCAGTCAGGATGTATGACTACAACAAGCCTAAAGAACCATAACAGCCATTTTTTAAGAAGTGAAGGAAGGGGTCAGGATGAAAGAAAACCAAACCAAACCAGAATACACAAGCCAGTGCTTTCCCTGGTCAACCAGCCTTTGTTCTGCTGCGGCCAGTGCAGCTGGGCTGAGTTAACCCAACTAAGGAGTGCACTTTGCTTCTGTACTTCCAGTGAGGTTGTCTTCAAAAAGAAAGGAAAAACAAAATGAACAAGGAATCATAGACAGAGTGGTGGCTCAGACACAGCCATACATGAAGGGCTCAGTGCTGCAAGGGACAGCGGTGCCACACGGCTGGGGCAGGTGCCCTACGGATGCTGCACCATGCTCCAAGCAGCAGCCTCCTTGAGGTGAAGGAGGGAGGACAACTGCAGGCATCAGAACTGGCACCTGCTGACCGTCTGTCTCAAAGAGGCAGTGAGGATGTACAAAAGTCTCCTTTCATGACCCTCTTACAGATGTCCACTTCTAATCTCAACGCCTGGCTTCAACAAAGCACTGCCTTTTGTTTGGAAGGACAATTTGCCATAAACTGTTCTCCTTCCCCAATCACCTCCTGGTCATTCTGCACGATCTTCTTCCACTCTCGAGTATTGTCACCATGCTCAGCAAGTTTGAAGATGTGCATCTATCTGGGGAGCGTTAGCGTGCACCTGCAGGACTCCCTGAAAGCGTTCCCAGGATGGATTTCTTCCCACGCAGGGAAGTGTACAGGGAACTGTTCCAGCTGATCAAATCCCACTGAAGTTGTTCTGTGAATGCCTGGATGGAGAAGGGGGAAGTTGGGCATGTAGATTCTGAATTCAATCCTTTTACAAAATAAGTAGCAAGCTGGATTTGGGCTGCACATGGAACACCACTGGCACTGTGTGGGCAAAACATGTGCACAGATGGCCAAATCAGAGTCCTGGCAAGAAGACGTGTGTTGAAGGCAGAGACCAGATCTAGGCCGTAACTGCACCCTAGAAAAGAGGGTTGGGAGAGGCAGAACTGCCCAGGGGGCATGTCCCTATGGTGGAACAAAGCACCATCCCACCTTGCCAGGCTGGTTGTGGCAGTTTGGCCACCATAACCTGGAGCTCACAAGCTCTGAGTCTTGACAGAATTTATGAGTGAGGCCAATGTGTTCAGACAGCACCGAGACCTGAGCTGACTCGTCTCCAGCTGGCTCAGCATCTGCATGTTCCGGGTTTGGGCTCAGCAGAGGCAGTAGGAAGATCTGTCCTAGCTGTTAGTGTAGACATGCCCATATTCTTCTGTCTTTCTCAAAGGACAAAAAATGTCCTCTTCATGCCTAGCTCATCTAAGTCCCTCCAATCATCACATTTTATCTTAAGCCACTTTTTCTATGATGCCACAAAAATCAGTTTATACTACATACGTGTATGTGCATGTGTGTATTAGATATGACAAGTTAAATATATATTAAACATATATAAATATCTATTTTATATATATTATATATATATATTAAACAACACATTCTATTCAATCATCCTCATTCATCTTCCAGCGAATCCCATCACTTCTCTCAGATTGCACAAGTTCTTTAGGACTGAGCTGTCTTTATTTTGGAGTACTCCTTGTACAGCCAATTCCACTGAATAGCACTTCACTGGTACTAAATTTAGATGGGTGAGGGTGGAACCTAATTTTTATTATTAGCGGTACACAGATTCTCCGTGATACCTCTTAGGCCCTGGTGGTGTACCATGAGTGTTTTTGCACCAAGACTCATAGTTGTAAATGGGCCATAACTGAATTAAGCCAAATGCAGGACGACGGCTTTAGCCATTACTGAAAATCAGCGCTACATTAAAACAGTAACTGTTTCCATACATGTATGTGTAAATTAAAAAAAAAGCATTTGGAGAGCGGGAGAGAGATGCTCATCATTTTCATTCCTACTATCTCTTGCCACTGCCAATATAGGGAAGAGAAATATTTCGGACTTCTCTCCTGACTTGTGTATCTCCAAAGGCCAGTTTCTGGAGGTTTGCCAACAGAGATAGACAGTAAACTGTTGTTAGCTAGCTGACAATTTCCCAGAGTTGTCCAGTTTTAGTAAATCAGGTCATCATTTCTGGGGTATATTCGCTGTCATTCTTGCCTGTCTCATGTAGTAGGATATGCCCAGTATGAAATACTGAACAACATCACCCTCATGGATGTTTAAAGTTGGTATTCTGGTTTCTTAAACTATATTTTCCAATTTGTAACAAACAACGGATAAGTTGTCCTAAGACTTACCAGAATATGCAGCTAAGACGACTGGATTTCCACTATTAGCAAAGTCTATGAGCATTAATAGGGAAGTGCATAACAAGTAACTTGCTGTGTATAAAACCCCTGAATAATACAGTATCAAACTATAAATTTAAATAACAGAGAGTAAAACAAAAAGTTCACTATATAAATCACAGGAAAAAAAAAAAATTCCCAAACCCCAACGGAATTTCCCAATGAGAGTTACTGGCTTCCACAGCCAGTGAACAATTACTGTAATTCTATATATAAACAAAAAGTCTATAGCAGGTATTTTAACTTGCAATAAGAAAAAAGTATCGCAGATTGCATAAATGTGTTGTGTCACATAATATCAAAGGTATTTGCAAAAATTATACAATCTGGAATGCTTTAATATGAGACACAACAATGTACTTAAACACACAGTAATAAGAAAATGAGAGCAACCATTATATAAAATGTGTTTTTGGGATGCATTGAGTTAGCAGTGCTATTGAGATTAAATACGCAAAGTGAAAAGTCGTCATTTTGAGAGCTGCTCACTGATACTCCTTTCTGCCATCAGGGCATTTTCTACGCCCTACTTCTGTTGGATCCTTAAAGTCCCAAGGGCAAGTTAAAGCCAGCTGTGACATTCAGAAATAATTCTGTTAAGATTTACAGTGTGCGTTTGTTACCAACTTTTGGTGATTTGTTTATTTTTCTTTTAAAGGAGAAGTGATTTCAGAAAGGCAAGTTTCTTTCAATGACACAGTAAAATCCTTGGAGCAGGGACCACATTCTGGGCACTGCTAATCACATTGTTGGCACTCAACAAATAAATAATAACAACAATAATAATAATTTGTTTTGCTTAATTCCTACTTGTTGTGCTGATTCCTTTTAAGTGATGCTCCTTAGGAATTTTCAGATCCTTTTGGCCTAAGTTCCTTTTGTCTTTCCTGTTGTCTTTCTTCTCAGTGTTGCTACTTTCCTCAGTCCAAAAGCCTCTTATTTTCGAGGTGTTGCTGTTTTATTTGCACTTATAGCAGAGGTGTTTGATAAAGCTACACTTCTTTCTGCATTTGGTAAATCTGGTGTGTCAAACTCCCAAGGGCAGACTTCAGCTCGAGATGCTAAAGATTGCTGCGAGTAACCACCTGGCTTACGGGAGTCAGAAATCACATTTCCCTCAGATGAGGCAATTTTCTTTTGTTCCACCAATTTATTGACGTTTTCTGCTGCTTTCTGGGGCAGCTCCTCGTGCTCCCCCCCACAAACATTTGGTGCATATCTGTTAACGTTCTCGCGATTCAGCCCAGGGGAGCCCTGAGATTTGGAACTCAACTGTTTTTTATCACTTTCAAAAACGTGCTGCTCTTGCACCTCCCGAGTGCCCGCCTCCAACTTCTGTGGGCTCTGCTGATTCGACTGTTGAGAGCCCTCAGGCATCTTCTGCTTATGATGAGATTTCCCCTTTGGCTGGGAAGGGTGATTTTTCTCTGCTTCTGAGGAAGCAATTGACACATGTTTTTGAATCTTAGAGTCAGAAGGCACAGGACCAGGAGTTTGGTCATATATCTCCCAAGGACAAATTTCTCCTATGTCGAAAGTGTCCTTGTGCAGAGTCTTACCTGGGCCTGTGTCTGGATTTGCAGGTGTCTGACTAACCCTTTGCTGCTTCATAATGCCAGACTTATGGGTTTTCTTTGTCTCCTCAGACTGAGTAGAGTTCTTCCGGTGAGAATCCTTGTGCTCCCCTTTATCGGTGGCCGAGTGCTTTTTGCTGCCTTCCTTCCCTTTCTGCTGAGATTTCTGAGATTTAGCGCTTTCTTCTAGACTTTGTGTTTTACCCGTAAGTCCCAGAGTCTTTTCCTTGGCACTAGCAATAACACTGAGGGATTTCTGTAACACAGATGTTCTTGGATGCAGAGGCTTCTTATCTGCACTTAAGTTATGCGCACTTAGTGATTTGCACACCAAAGGGACCGATTCAGTGGACACAGCTTCACCTTTTTCAGCTTTTTTGGTTAAACTGTTACCAGTGAAGGAATCCAGAATTGAATTCTCAGCAGCTGTAACTTCTGTGCTTTCTGCAGTTACGCTATTAGACTCTTCTGTTTGATCCCTGACGTGATCGTAAGTGCTGTGGGACTTCTTTAATGAGAAGACTCTGTTTTTCAAGGTCTCTTCTTTTGGCTTTGCAGAACTTGTGGAATCTTGTGGGGGTTTTTTCAGCGTAGCCGTGCTTTTCACAGCATTGTGCTCCATCAGGTCCTTCTCGTCCCTGGAGCACTGCCTAGTGACTGTCTCTGGGATTTCTGTAATACGCCTCATTATCGAGCGCCCCAAGCCCTTTTTAGAGCACCTTTTTTTCTGGAGATGCGGGTTATTAGCAATCATCTTTTTCCTTTTATAGATTTCAAGCTGGGCATACAGTTTCTTCAACTCATCCTGTAAAGCAAAGTAAATAGCAAAAATAGTATGAACAGAACAAAGCCAAACAACCACCCCTAAAAATGACATTAATCTTATCCCACTTTCCTTACTAATTCTTGAATATGCCATTTCTCCAGTTTTTTTCCACCTTAAGACTAAGTTCCGCCCTAGTGCACAAACCAGTTACCCTGCATGGCTGCACATCAGAGACCATGCACAACCAATACACATTCATACAATACTGTGGTGTTAGTTTTCCTATTGACTCTTGCTGCTATTCTGTGTTCTGGAACTGTAAGTCAGACAAGTTCCAGGCAGAAATGTCCTTTTATCACATAAGAAGGCAATAGCACAGCTTTCTATTTCTCATGTTTATCAAAATGATATATTATATATCTATGTACAAACAACTAATCACAGTGACACCAAATGCTGCTTGTGCTTCAAAGAAACTACGTAAACTGATTAATGGCTTTTGCTGTGGAAGTTTCTTCTTCCTCAGCCTCCAGTATGACTTTTACTACAACTATTTTTTCTTTACGCTGGTCAATTCTTTCCAAGATATTTCACATGACCAGAACCCACAGTCACTGAGAGACTTAACTGACTTGTTTCATTTGGCATCTGCAAAAAAAAAAATTAAACTGATTCAGAATTTACCAATGTGAAAAAAATGCTTTTGAAAATAGAATCATAGAATCATAGAATCACAAGGTTGCAAAGGACATACAAGATCATCTAGTCCAAAATAAATGATATTTAGTTACATATACCCGAATATCTTCAGGATCCAAACTATGCTCGCTCCATGCTGAATTGATACTGCTGTTCAGATAGGATCCAGATCGGCCCATATCAAGTTCATCTTCATAAGCTTCTGTAGCTATATCATCTCTTGGGTTATTGCTTGAATGTGAAAACTGCAGTAAGCATTCAGAACAAAGATGTTGCCATTAGTGCACAATAGAAGTTTACAATAGTTTTCATTATACAGTTGATCACAATGGATTTAGTACTATTTTCTAAACTCAGTACCTACAGGCTAAACTCAGTACCTATAGTACCTATAGGTTACACCACTGGTGTAACTACTGTCCTGGAGAAAATCAGTACTGTATGGAAGAACTCATATTAATGGTGGATTAACCACTAAGGGTTCTGAAATCTGCATTAGAAAAATCCTTTGTACTTATTCTGCCACTTATTTGTGCCTTTTTACACTGCATTCACTTTAAGCTTATATGACAAATTTATGGGAATACACTTTCAGTATTTCCAACTAGGCTGCTAAAACCATACAACTACATTCCATATTCCATGCAGTCAGATAATCCTGCAGAAAGTAATTCTCCCATTTCGGATCCCGATCCTGAACATGAATAGACAGAGTGGCAAAAAAAAAAATGTTATTAAGAACTGGAAAGAGAGGTTGTGTGAGCTATTTTTTTATTCATATGGATTCATTCGTCTGTGATTCTATTGCCCATGTAGTTATCTGGCCTCAGGACTTTATGAATTGAACATAACCTTGTGAATCTTCTCTTCATTCCCTGAATTCTTTGGGGTACTGGAAGGAAAGTCTGTACAGTGTTACACAGATAATGAACTAAAAATGGAAACCCTGATCCTTAGTTATAAGTCAGTTTCAGAAAGGTTAACAAATTTTCTAGGCTAGTCTGGAAAGACATCTCTGAACACATGTAATGATGGATAAAATGGATAAAAAATAGAAAATAAAACTATTACTAAAGACCAGTAGAGTCATTAAAAAAATAGGGCTGTGCAGTGTTAAGGCCAGATCAGTGCGTCCTCTGGTTATGCATGTTTAATATATCTATTTTTGAGAGTTTGTCAGCAAATCAGGAAAGGACAGAAACATTAACTTGAACTTTCTAGCATTATTCCTTTTCTGCAACTTTCACCTTCACTGTTACCTTTGATTCTTGACTTTCTGATTAATGTTACAAGTCATTTCAAGAGCCATTATAAAGCCACTTGTTTTGCTGGAGTACTGTACAAGAAGAAAGCTACATTCGAATCCTACAGACTGGTGCAAGAGGCAGGTGGAGCTGACTGGCATTTTATCATTCCATTCTGAAAGCTGTGCAGTGGTGCCCAAAGCTCATTCTGTTCTCTTCCTTGCATCCTGTCATCTGCATCTTCTTGTGTCCTGCACACATTCATCTTCTCACCCTGCTGCTGGCACTGTAGCATGGATAGTTTCTTCATGGTATGCAGGACTGGTATGTCCCCATGCTGCAGCCATGGGAAGGAGCCTGCAGTGGGGCAGGAGGGCTGGGGGAGCTGCTGCCTGTGGGGACCCGTGTGGAGCAGTGCCTGAAGGGTGGCTCCATGGCACAGAGCTGTGTTGGAGCAGTGCCTGGAGAGCTGAAGCCAGTGGGGAGCCCATGTGGGACCAGTTCAGGAAGGATGGCATCCTGTGGGAGGGACCCCATGTGGGGCAGGGGCAGAGTGACCATGGAGGAGTGGCAAGACCAAGTGTTATAGACTAATTACAGCCCCCTTTCCCTGATCCTCTGTGCTGCTCCTGGGGAAGAAACAGAGGATGGATGGAGGGAAGATGTATTTAGTTTACTTTCAGTTTCTCATCGCTCTGCACTAGTAATAAGTTAATCTTTCTTTGCTAAGTCTGTTTTACCCATGATGACAATTTGTGAATGATTTCCCTGTCCTCAAGCCTTGAGCACTTTATCATCCTATTTTCTCCCCTTTTTCCTTTGAGGAGGGGAAGTGACAGAGCTGTGTGATGGAGCTCATCTGCCCATTAGGGTGAAATAATCACACAGTGACAATTGCTGGGTTTAGGTCCCAGTCACTCCATCTCATAGCCTGTTTAACCTCATCATCCCACTTTTATTTAATGGTCCATGCTAGTCTTTCTAGGCCCTCACACAAACTCAGGTAACACTGCCAGTGGCCCAGTCGAGCAAATACTTGAAGTAGGGATCACTAGGCAAGATCTTTTCCTTCCTGCATGAATCAAATCCATTTATGTGTTTTGTTTAAATTGAAAATAAAAGTCTTTTGAATCTATGGAATTTTAAAAATCGGAAGAAAGAATCTTTCAAAATGTGTAAGAGTTTATAAAAGAAAAAATCAGATACACTTCTAGGCATTAGACAAATTTTGCATCTTCCTTTTCTACCAGTTGCTTGCTAATTTTATACAGAATTGCTTCTGCATGACAAACTTATCTTCCTGGTCTTGACAAAAATAAAAAGAACACAATACCTTAGGGATCAGTAGTAGCCCAGCAGTGACTGTCACAGTCAAGTGCGTGTGTGCAAAGAACAGCATCAGCATCCAGTCAGACTGAAGTCTTGAAGCAAGAATGAATCTGAAAAAAGAATTGCATTGCAATTCACTGTCTTTTCTCCAGTGCATTGTATTAAACATTTTGAATGTTCCTTAGGTTTCTTTTCACTGAAAGACCAAGCACAACTGGTTTTGTTTTGCAGTGATTTCATACAGACTGAACTATTCACGTGCTATTCACAGACTATTCTATTCACATGCTTTACCTATGTACCACAGATTCAAAACAATTCAGGAAAAAAACACACAAAAACAACAACACAAGCCAAAACAAAGTATAAAAGTAACAACAGGTCTTAAAGGACATTGCTTATTCCAGTGTTCTCACTCTACATAACTGGAGTTTTTTTCAGATAGTGTAAATAGTCTTTGGCATGAACTGAGTTACGGCAGTTTGCATAAAGGATGTGAACTGCTGAATTTAGGTTAAGTAAGAACACGTACTATGATACATTGCAGTGCACTCTGTAAATAGAGGATGTTCAGAGATTGCAGCTGCAGGGTGCGGCTGATAAGCCAACAAAGAGAGAACAGCACTGACCTGCATTTCAGTGGGGAACAAAGAAATGGTGTTGATTTCAGGACCACTTATGGTCCAAGAGCCCTGCAAACACTAGGAAATGGCTGGCTGAACTTTAAAAATGAAGCATTTCCTGCTGAGCTTTCTAAAAGAGTAGAGCAAGCACTGCAGTTAGAGCAGCTTGGCTTTTCTGCTTTAGTGACTCCCAAAGATATAAAAGGTAAGCAGTGCAATGGACGAACGGATCTATCACTGGCTTGTAATCTGCAAGTTTGTATAAATCATTCACATCAAAATGAGATTTGCAGCTTACCCAAGATCACAGATGCACATTTTGCAGAAGCTTTTGTTAACAGAAACAGTCTGGCATGAAACATAGGCTGTAGCAAAAAGCTACAGATAGTGCCATGATGGATGCAGGGCATCATCTGAAAGACAGTCAAACTTCACAGGTAATTAAGGGAGTGCTGTAGGCCCTTGAGAGAGCAGAACTTGCAAGGCCAACAGTCCTGATGTAACTGTATTGACAACAGTCTATAAAGCTTTGCTTACCTTGGTTATATCAGAAATACCAGATTTGAATACAAATGTAGCAAAATTGGGACCAACAGTAGTGAGAAAATAACAAAAGAGTGGGTTATTTATGAGGGAGAAGACAAGGACAGAAAAGGGCTAAGGCAGATGGGTTAAGAACTATCACAGAAAATCAGAAAGAAGAGGCAGTAAGATGTGTTAGTGGCATGTAAGCAAGTTGTTACTAACAGAGCTCTGTACCTGATCATTGCAGAGACAGAGTTTCTATTTAAATGAAATTTTTCCATCAAAATTTTTCTCAATAATACAAGAGAAAGTGCAGAAAAGTAATACTATGCTGATCAGAAGGTAATCAAGAACCCTCTGTTTCTGGAATGGGAATCACACTTTTAAAGAACAACCATGAACAATTCAAGGTTGCATTTGGTGCTCACGTTAATCTTCTGTGAGCTTCAGGAATTTTCAGGCTGGATGGCTGCAACATAATAGTAGGTGTACTTCAAGAATCCAGTGCTATCGACTTCATGACAATTCAGATATACCATATAAATCATATGATGATTTCATCAAATATAAAAACATCTTACACTGCAGCTCCTTCAGTTACACGTAGAACTTGGCAGGGAAAACAGAAGCAAGAAAAAATGCATGTAAAGAAAAGTGAACTTGAGACTGGGTTAAGACTCGTGCGTATGGATATGTACATCATCTCAGGAGGGACTCTATTTTCAGTGCATTTTGTTCGTTCCTATCTACAAAAAAATGCATGGTGTTTCTTCAGCAAATCAGCATGTGGCAGAAAGGAAAGCAATACTAAATGTACATTTTTTTAAAAAAAGAAGGAAGAACAAAATCAGCAGACCCTAGGGCGAAGGAACAGATAATGGGGAAGATCAAGTCCTTCAGTGCCTTCTTCGCTTAATTGCATTACGTTTGATCTAAAAGAAGGCACAGACAGAAGAAATCTCTTCAGAATTCTTTGCTTCGTTAAGATCAGGCAGTGTAGGAACATTTCAAAACAATGAAAAAAGTTTGTAAATCTGCTACTGAAAACAAGCAAACCACTGCCCTGATTAGAAATGCCAGCAGGACCAGACCTATGTAAGAGAGAGGAGTCTCTCCTTTTTCTCATATTCCTAGCGCTTTCCAAGAAAAATCCTCAGGGTTGGATGATTGCTTCCATCCTACTGTTAAAAGAAACTTGCACCCCACAAAATACTTCTCCTAATGCACTGAGCTGTATCTTCTACCATGAATCAAAGTATGGTTTAAGAACATTAATTACTGGGGGAAAATCTTGACTGAAAGGCTACCATACGAGCTGTAGATGATTCAAAAGTACCATATTAGTAGCAAGCAATTAAAAAGTACTGTAACTGAGTTTTACGCCTACCCTATCAGGAATGACAAGAAAAATATTTCAATCAAATACAAATTTTTAAAACAATTTTTCGTATGTTTGTGTTAGGGAGTAAACAAGGAGATTTTGAATGTCCATGGATGGCAAGATATGGGGTTAGGAGAAGATTAAGGAAAGAAAAAGTTGCAAGCCTGAGAAGGGCAGTGAACTTTACAACCATGGCAAAGAGTGCACCCAGCAAGAATAGAGATGAAAGATTTCTTTTCTTTCTTTTGCTGGTCTTTACTCAGAGAAAAATGCTGCAACACAGAAGAAAACATAAAGAAGGCACAGAGAAATGTGAGCTCCAATACAGACCTAGAAAGTGAGAGGCGTATTTGAAGATTGTCAGTGGAGTGGTGTAAAAAAATAAATCAGAGTAGATAAGGTCTGTCAGGAGGCAAAGATAAGTGCAAGAATGTAACAAGAAAGTCATAAGAATCTCCTGGTGCATGAGCTGAAATTCATGCTGTCTTGCTATTCCAAATTCCTTAGTAGGAGGTGCTCTGACGGAAAGGCAGGTAAGATAATTTTCATACACTCTGGCAATTACCCTTATTTGCTTGTTTTAAAGTATTTAAAATATGATTTAAAATACGAAAAGATTTAAAATATGAAACATTGAGCTCATTATAAGCTTTCAAAGAAATACATGCCTTATCTTACTGTTACAGCATAACAATTTTTAAGTCAGCATATAAAGCACTATGCCTCATGCACAAACCAGTGCAATTATCTCAACATACAGCTGCACTTTGCCAATCTGTTACACACCAGGACACATTCATATAAACCAACATTCTTACCTGCTGCTTTTCTAGGGATACAAACCAGTGAGTGGTGCGTAAGTGATACAAGACTGACAATATTTCTTGTACCTCTAGTTTATCACATGTACTGAACTTTGTTCAAAGGACACATTAGCTAGCAATATGGAAAAAAAAAAAACACCCCTAAATATATTATTAACAACTTGATCAGATACATTCTTGAATTCTATGGGAACAGTTTTAAGTTTAGTAATTAATATATTAATATATATTAATAAATATTTATGAGACTTTTCCTTACGCATCCTACTCCATTTACCCATTTTATGTTGCACCATATGAAACCTGAAAGATAAATAGCTAATTACTAGATCCACATATCACTTGCCTAATTGTATGGAATATAGCAGAGATAATGAGCTCATTGTGAACTGCAACAGCCATATAACGCGGCTCATGAAATGCTGATGGGACTGTCCGCACTGCATAGCAGAGATAAACACCCCACAAGAGGAATAAAAATTCAGCTGTGAGAAGAACAAGAAGAAATAATTTGCAATTAGTTTTATAGATGAAAAAGGAAGGAAATCTGAAGTACTACAGTATCTTCTGCACGTGTGAGTATCTATACAAAGACAGTACAGACGTATAAATGTATACATCTACACACATAGGCGTTCAAACTCTTTCAGATACTGTTACTGTACATCTGGTTTTAATTTTAAACACCACTTTTTCTCCATATCAGGAATCTTTGCACTCGTAGTGCAAAGATTTTCAATATAGAAACTATTAAGGCAATATAAAATAATTTCTTCCTTGAGACAATGTCTAATAATTGCTTGCTCATTTTTCAAATTGGTACTACAGAAGCTTGACATTACTTAAAATAACAAATATGATTACTTGTAGCTGTGGTTTTTGTTGGAGAGGCAGCTACTGGTGCTGCTAAAGACTTCAAGTCTTTAAGTCAACATTTTCATTTCAAAGGTTTGTAACTCAGATAAAACCATCTATTTCGGGTTTAAAAATTTCCACTGTTCATGACAGTTAATTTTGCTGGTGCCCATAATATTATGAGTCACTTCTGAGGGCCTCACATAATTATAACAAATGACGTGTCTCTCTCTGTTAGAAGAAAAATGAATAAAGGAAGAAAAGGTCAGCATCAGCTTAGACTATGTTGTTAGATCTAAGTCATCTGCATCCACCAGTCCTCTGGCGGCAGGTTCCTGTAGACGCTCTGCTGTGATATCATTTCGCTTTTGACACAACTGAAATCACGTCACAGCCACCTTGAAAAACCTCCCCTTGAAGGACAGAAACACGTAGCTGGCACCTCTGTGCCGTGCCTTGCACTCTGGGCTGACTTGGCTGTAAGTGGTTTAGCCTGAGCAGTAAGATGAGGTTCTGTAAGAGATCCCTGCAATTCCTGGGCCAGCATCAGAAATTGAGTGTAATCCCATTGTTACTCACACACTATTCTTGGCTTGTTGAACTTTTGTAACTAATCCACTAACCGCTGTGTTCTGTGCAAGGATTAGGACTAAAGTCATCTATGCTCAGCCAGTGGTCTTCTTGCTGCCTATGAGCTGCCAGCCAGCTCTGCAGTGCAAGGCATCACATCCTAACATGGCAAGATGCCATGCTTCTCCACAGAATTGAAAGCACTCTGATGACTACCCTGAATAGCTGGATCTCAGACATCTGGGTAGGTGAGTTGAACCCTGCCTCAGCCTCTCATCTCTGAATTGAATCCAGTCAGCTGCCTGCACTAAAGGAAAATTCCACGTTCAGCTTTTTTTGGTTTCTGAAATTCTGTACTTTGTCACCTTGCCTTAAATTACTACTTGTTATATATATAGAAATAAATTAAATTAAAAATATAGCAAGATGCAATGTAATGGGCAATCAGTCATTTATCATACTTCTTTTTGTAAATACATGTTATTGTACTGTAACAGAACAGGTGATTGGTGACTGGCCTGTATGGGAGCGATCAGCCAATTGTTATTGGTTTTGGTTTCAAATCTCCTAATATCTTCTATAGATAGAAGCTATGCTATCACTGAATTCCATGTATTATTCTAGTTTCTTAAAAACACCTACACTGGAATTCCCTATCAAGCCATCTTGCTCCTTAAATCTTCTCTGAATAAGCTGAATATGGATTTTGCTTCAATAAGACATCAGGTTCCTTTACAAATATTACCAGTTTCGTTTTCTCTAAGTACACTTATCTTGCTTATGCAGCGTCATGGCACTGAAATGTATTGCTCTTCAAAGTAATGAAATGTATTGCTGTAATTGCTCTGTATTGATTTAAGAAGAAACTGAAAAGGAGAAAATGCATTCACAGAATGCTAAAGCCAAATTACTGTATTTTACTTTCCTATATTCAATAGAAACCCTTATTTCAGATAGCATTCCCCAGAACATTCCACATGGCTTGTTTCCTCTCATTTTGCCTTTTATCCAAAGTGTACCACAGTATAAATAAATAAGGGAATAAAGAAATTATCAGTAGAGCTGCATAGTTAATGTAAAAAACTAATTATGAAATAACAGGCATATATTCCCAACGAACATGGTTCATTTTTCTCCCTCTTCTACAACCAAAGCGAGAAGGTCTCTTACTGGTAGAAATGATCAGTTACCAGTGCTAACAGAAGTTGAAAGTTGGAAAATGTTGGGCTTTTAATTGCATGAAAATACATGTAGAAAACTATATGTGCTGAAAGTATTCACAAAGTAAGAAGTCTGGGTCAAATTTTGCTTTTTTTACTATTAAAACAAGATCTGATGTAACTCTGAAGATTTACGAGAATATATATATATATTTATCCAGACTGAAAAAGAATTTCAAGATAACAGAAATGAAAGTGAATAAGTTGCATACAAATAGTAAAAAGAATTACAATGAACTTCAGAAAGTAGGAACGAATGATCCTTGGATCTGATTAATTCTGCAGATTTCAAATTTTTCAGTTTCATGATCATACACAGAGTCCCTAAGACAAGAAGAGGGTATTTCAAAGCAATAATATACTGGAGTACAATAGCAGTTTGCATTGTTTAATGAATAATGCTTTTTTAAAAGCTTTACAGTTAGAGCAGAGTGGGCATTCCTGTATGTAGAAAACAATCAGTGAGACATTTGGTATGTAACACAAATGGGAAATAGCTTTAAAAACACAAGGTAAAACAACAGAGTTCCTATGGTTGCCAAAATCAACACAACAATAATTTTGTTAGTGATAACAAGCAAAACATATTAATTGAAAAACAATTTATTATCAAAACCACTAATTACACAGCTTAAATGTATCATGTAAAAGTTGAGCTTGAGGGGGAAAATTGTATTCACACAATTAGATACATACTGCTAGAGCATTTTGTAATGAAAATCTGAAGATACAAAAATTTCCTCTATTATTTTCCTTCATAGTCTCTCTGATCTCTCAACATAAAACAAGCCAATATAATTATATATTTGTTATAGGTGACACAGCTAAGGTAGCTAACTTTAAGTTGATAGCTGGATAGATAGATGGATAGTGAAACATGTAAGAGCAAGACTCCTAAGCATAATTTACCTCTGAGGTCTTTGTCTAGTTTTGCTCTTTGCACATTAGTGACTGTCTTGCACGCAATATCTATAATGAACAAAATCTGGTTTGCTCAATAATATTTCACTCCGAGCCTGGTGTTAGAAGAGTAACTTGAAAAGTAAAGGGCTGTATTATGATAATGCAAACCTGTCAAGACCAAATTCAAAGTCCAAAATACATAATCTTAGTCCTTCAAATATGATTCATCATAAGGCTTAAAAATTACTTATTACTTTTTACTTATTAAGCACAAGAAGTGTCTTCTTTTCCGCTTCTGGAAAATGATGGGAATTCCTACTTGAGTGACCTGCCTGACAGGAAATGTGAAGTAAAAAAAATATTTAAAAACTTGCAGTAGCTATTTTATAACTGTCCAAACCAGGCATTCAGATGGATGCAAATCTCTGACTGACAAACAACTAAGAAAAGAAATGACTGCTTTAGAGACACAGAAGGTGAAATGTAAACACAATGTGGCCTCAATATGCCATGTGCATAAGTTAATTAATCTTTAAATATGTAACCTGCCTGGTTATATATATATATTAGTGTTTAAAAATATGATCATTCCTTTTGTTTGTAATGCCCATGGTGTTAGAAAACGGAACATTTTGGAACACTTAGCTTCATTAGCCACCACACTGGACTAGCCTATACTCTATTACAACTAGGGGCAGTCCATGCCTGCCCTCGTGGGATCTACCTGGGCCGCTGGTCATACTCTGCACCTTCTGAGAATGAGCAACAGTGATATATCCACAGTACATGATACATATCTGCTGTGTAGAGAAAGATACACTCAGATTGGTCTTCTTGATTCAAACTTCCTGAAGATCTGAGATAGCGTATTTGCTAGGACTTGCTAAACGAGCAGTTATCTGCACTGTCAATTATTCTTTCATTTTTAAAACCAGTACAAGGCACATCTGTGTCCAGAGATAGCCATGGAATCATAGGATTACAGAATACTGGAAGGGACATTAAAGATCATCCAGTTCCAACCTTCCTGCATGGGCAGGGACACCTTCCACCACACAATGCTGCCCAGGCCCCCATCCAACCTGACCTTGAACACCAGGCATCCACAAGTGTCTGGGCAGATTGTTCCAGAGCCTCTGTGACATTTCTGAGCCTTGAACTTTCAGGCCTCACTTAGATGATGCAGAATGACCTGCTGCTGACTCACACCTGCCTGCCCAGCCCCAACATGAGTGAGTTCCAGCATCCATGTCCTTGCTCACTGCTCACTGAAGCCAGTACTTCAGCTGACTGCATGGAGCGGTGGAATGAGCAAAACTCATACAAGGAAACATGGAAAATCAAGAAATGTGAAACTCAATTTTTGAGGCCTTAGGAAAGTCCTTCATCCTTACTTTTAGAGCTTTGGCATCTCTAAAGCTTGAACAGCACAAAAATTAGAACACCACGTATCCAGTTTTAAATTGCTTTCCTGTGTATTATAATCTTCACTTAACTATACCATTTCCTGGGAGACCAGACTCATTTAATGCATGTGACAGAGCAATTGCAGAGATAAATCAAGGTTGATTAATAAAGAAAGCTGTATAATTTATTGCAAACAACATTTTAGATGCTTAGTGAATAAGGCAAAAGACTGCAGGATGAAAAAATGGTCTTGAGCACATGCAAGAGAACTGAATTCTAACTTCGTGCCTCAGATCTCCTCTACAAATGCAAAACTCACCACTCGAGCCATGTTTCACAGACACAATCTCAGAAAATGTTCTTGCTAGTTGGAGACCAATCTAGAATTTTTTTTTGTTGCAGTTTGCAGCAGAACTGAGCACACAGGGTTGTATTCCTGGCCAGTGAGACAATATATAACACATTCTACATAGATATGACGAGTTCTGTAACTGAGCCAAAAGCATGGCAAAATGGACACCCAAATTAGA